CAAGGGGAAAAAATGAGAACCAAGAGCTGTCATGTAAAGGTACAAGATCCCAGTAATGAATGTAACTGTACTGTATACCTAAAATGTACCAATAAACTCAATAAAAAGGAAAAAAAGGATGTAACATTGAGATAGAACATAAGAGGCTACATCTCACTATGTAAAATCAGACATATTTGTTACATAAGGAGACAGAATATTGTGCAGCCACTAAAAATCCTACTTACACTGCTGACACTAAATTTTCCTTCGCTGCTTCTTGTGGTGAGAGCAGGGCTGTGGGTGTCTGTTATGTCCAGATTTATATATTTTTAATTCGGTACAGAATTTTATAAGTAAAGTAACTGTAAAAGGTAAAATACATTTTTCAAAGAATATCTGATTATTTGCAGAAAAGTGTTTTGATGTGCAAAAGGGAAATACACAGACTCCATACCTGTATAAGTTTAACTGAAAACTATAGAAAACTAAGCGGGAAAAGGCCGGCCAACATTTTCACCATGAGCTCTGGCTTGTGACAATGTTTCCTATTTATCTTCTACCTTTGTTTTGGTCTTGTATTTGGTGAAGAGTGGGTATGATTCTCATGTCTCAGTAATGGAAATCTCTGACAACATGAAAGCAGAAACAGCAAAGGAGGAAACCTGGCCGACACGACGATCTGTAGCTGTAACAAACCATCCTGTTACATGTGGGGCAGGGGGAAGCGGGGATCATTCCATGGAAGGATGAACACTGGGCCGTAGCGAGAACAATAAGTTCAACTTCCTCCCTCTAGAACACATCTCAAGGCAAAGGATGCGAAAGACCTTCCACTTCTTCTCTCTGGGAACTTTGTAGATAGGAATTAAAGAATAAAACAGGAAATGTTTTCCATTTTTATTATATTCTATATGGGTAGAAACCTTTCTTTCTTGTTGTTGCTATAGAATTCAACTTCTATAACTCAATGGTCGCTGAATAAATGCTTCCTGACCTTCTGGAACCTGCGAAGTTAGAATAGACAGAGTTGCTGGCAGAAAGAGCCAAAATATATGTATATTTCCTTCCAAACACATTTAATTGGAGCCTTTCCATCCAGCACGCTGTTTCATCTAATTCAAAAACAGTACAGTCTGAACCGTGGTAATGGAGCCTCATTAAGTCCCATTAGCTACAGTCCCATCCCGCGGATACAATGGAAACCAGCGTGTATTCACAGCAACAGGTAGCCCACCACAATAGAAACCCGTGAGATAAATAACCTGCTCACCTCACACCCGCTCTTCTTGCTTTTACAGGCACTTATTTTCTAAAGCACAATGTCCTGTGAAGCTTATTTTAATTATATTCCTGGACCACCAGCTACATTAACTTAATGCAAGCTGTCAGTCATCCGGACACATAAATTCTTATCATTTTAGTTTCCTCTGTGTAAAGCCTCGAGCATGCAGGAAAGACGAGTAAGATAACTGTTTTCTTGTGGGCTTTGGACAAGGCACTTTGAGACGAGATAATAGCAAGTATAATTATCATCCTCGATCCTCGTGATAATCATAACACCCACTACATGCCCAGCCTTTTGCAGAAGTTCCTCACATCCAATTTTATTTAATCCCCGCCTCAGCACTATTCGGGAGATGTGACTATTGTTCCTTTGATGGACACAAGGCTGGGCCTCCAACCCAGACAGGCCGAGTCCACTGTCAGAGCCTCCAGCCTCCACGCTGTCTAAACCTTTTGGCAACTCACCGAGGGTCTGACAAAGGTTCTCTGGGTGTCCCAGAGCCCCCTGAATTGACAAATGAGCCGCACCAAAGAATCTCATGCCGAAAGCTGCTCACTGAGGTTCTCCAAAGAGGGATGGGGCCCATCCGAGTGGTAGCTCTTCATGATAGAATCACAGTGAAAATTTTTAAACTCTCCAGAAACCACAGCCTTTCCCAAACATGCTTACTATACGTTTTTTGGGTTTTGGTTTTTTTTCATTCCGAAAAGCATCTTACTCCACACAACACAGAGAGAAGAAAGCTGGCTGAACAACTGAAGTCAAAACAGAAGCTACATGAACCAAATTAAACTTTTGCCCCTCACGTAAATGAAAAAGGCAGTGTTCCAAATAACGCATGCAAGACCACAAGCAGCCTAAATGCACTCTCTTTGTCCACTCTCAGAGGCAGGCAGACATGCAAGTCCGCGCCTCATCCCCTTCACCCCTCTCCAAACCACGGCTCATTTACCTCAGAAAACGTCCCTTCCTTCTACACCTCAGTGCGAGCTGCCAGCAAAGGCCTCGCCAAGGGCGATGGTGACATCAGTGCCGCAGAAACAGCTCTATCAAGAGGGGAAACGGAGCGTCTTTTGGAGTTAGAGTTTCATAGCGAAATCCAAAACTCCTTGTAAGTATCCATACTTCTTGCAAGCCTTACACCTGTCTAACGCCTAATCTTCTCAAATCCCAAAGAACGAACACAAGAAAAAGACAAGGGCGTGTGATTATGAATACTCTGCGGATTTTGTTATTATCATCGAGTCACTTTGTAAATGCCTGTTTCTCGTGTTTATTCTCGCTTCCCTCAGTTTGTGACACACCTTCTCCTCGCTCTCCTAACACCTTTCTCCGCTCAAGCCTTCCTAGTGTTTTCCAAGAGCCCCTCATGCCCTGCCCATTTCACAGGCACTGGCATTGGCAGGGTTGGACCTCAGCCCACTGAGTCCCCCATGCTACTTTATTGCTGCCATACCCTTCACTCCCTAGTGTAGGCAGATGATTCTCACAGCTGACTCTCCCCAGAGGCAGATGATCTCCTTGTCCGGTTCCAACTTGACCCAGGGCTTCGGATCCATACAGCCAAAACCTCCTGGACCTCTCCAGCTAACTGTGCCAAAAGAACCTCAAGCTCCGTAAGTCTAAAAATCACTGCTTTTCCTGCCCCTTTGGTATGCCACGCTCTCTGTCTTGAAAGCGTTTTTACCCAGTTGCCCTACTACAGACCCTGCAGCCATCCTGGACCCCATCATCTCCCTCGGTCACATCCAATCCCTAACTCATCTCATCCGCTAAGCTTTCCGGTCCAGTCCATCTGTGCAATCCCACCGCACTCCCTCGGCCAGGCTGCAGGACTCACCCACCCTCTGTACCATGCTCTCGAGTGGTCTCCCTGGTCCCCCTTCTGATCTCTCAGACCCACCCTGCCCTGCCGCTGAAACGATCTACCTGGAAAGCCAATCTGTCCACAGACCGCTGAGCACCTCAAATCCTTCCTTAGCTTTACAGTTTAAAGAACTTTCTACAATCTCTTTGGGGGCCGTAGACCTTATGTTACCTGTGTTGTCCCCTCTTCTTAAGGTTTGGAAGGGAATTGAAATTTAAAAAGAAATTATTCTCACATTTTTGCCATCTGTTTTTACATGAAATAGCTATGTTTTCTTGTACCTTCACTATCCATAGCACTCTGCCACAAAGCCATCTCCATCACCTCATTGAATCTGCACAGCGACCTAAAGGAGTGAGTCTATTTCCATGCCTGCTTTATAAATGTTTTTAAAAAGTCCACGCTACAAAGAGGTTCAGTAAATTTTTCCAAGAACATATAGCTAGTAAGCAACAGAGTGGAACTTTGTCCCGACTCTGTAAACTCCTGACGTGGGTGTGCACATCGTAGGAACCTGAGAACCAGGTTGGCCCCGAGCACCGGAGGCACACAGCTAGGAGCAGACACGATGTATTTTATGATTCAGATCAACAATCGATTAGATCCTGGGGACTTTCGAGTGGAGCGTGCTGTTGGAAGTGGGGTCTGCTGGAAGAGGTAGGTGCGTCTCCTTCCCTGGCTACCCCCTTTTCCCCTGCTTCCTGTTGGCTGTGACAAAAGCACCTGTGCCCTGCCCAGTCCCTTCCACCATGCCATTCTTGCCTCTGAGCCAGCTGACCACGGACTGAAACTTCTGAAACCAGGAGCCAAAAGAAACCTCTGCTCCTGCAGGTTGTGTGTGTTGGTTACTGTGCCTCGGTGACCGAAGGGGACTAGCACAGTGTGGAAAAAGGAAGGGGACGTTTATATAACTATGGGCTAAAGGTATTATTTAAATAAACTACAATTCGTGGATTCACAAATCATTCATCTTTGTCACAAAAATAAATTTGACCCACAATTCAATCAGCTACACACTGCATATTTACACAAAGATGACACCAGCAGAAAAGTAAAGGACCCCACAACTCTCACTTATGCCCCTGGTGAGCCACTGAGAAAGTTATCAATGTGATTCAACTTTACATAAAATAATTTATAAGGATTTCCATCGATCTATCTGATAAAGTTTCGACACCAGAAAAGAAACACACACACAGTTAGATTTAACAATTTATGGTCAGTTTTCTGAACGCTCAGAATGAAGGCACACAGTTAACTCTTGTGAGGTTGCTTCCCATGACAAGAGTAATTCTGTGGTTTAAACAAACGCACGCTCGCACGCTTTCCCGTGTGAACACAAAGCCAGGCAGCCCCGTCCGTCACAGTCACATTCCCGCGATGGCTTTGCCCGAACTCGCTCACCAACGCGGCCCTTTCTCCGACACAGCTTCCCTCCCTTCACACCTCTGCTCCAGCCTCCCCACCCTGGCCCACAGGCAGCCGCTCCGCCAGGCACGGCATTGCCTCAGGAGCTGGGCGCTCACCACCCTCCTCTACCCCGCTCCCAGCCTTACTCTCTCCCTTCTCTTCCTGTTCCTGAGGCAAAAGTCCACGCCCTGCACCCCGCTGGCTGCCCAAAGACTTCTCTTCCGCAAAGCGCCTCCTCCTTCTTCCTCTGCAGCTTCTCCCTTGGTGTTGGGTCATCTTCACAGCCACACAAATTTATTTTGTTTTTTGCACATGAAAGGAAACGAAAGCAGCTCACCCAGCCCTATCACACAGGTGAGCACCCCAAGGGCTCCATGACCCCCCTCTGCAGCCAGCGTGAGTACTGCACCTCCTCAAGTTTGGGATTTTTTTTCTAAAGGTCCATGTATTTTTTACCTTTCAGATGTCACTCGGACTCGGTCCTCAAAACTGCAATTCAGACTCTCCATCTTCTCATGGAAGTATTTTTCCACACACTGCTCTTCAAACTCATGAAGCTTTTTTAGATCCTCGGTACTCAAGTAGAGTTCTGTGGAAATAAGAATTATACCTATGAAGAATCATTGTTTGCCCTTAATAGGAAGCTGGTGCGGGCGATGCTGCGGATCCATCCGCTTTGAGTATTTCCCCAAAATGTCCCTAGGCTGGAAGCACGGTCCTCAGTGTTGTGGTAGAGTGGTGCGGCCTATGGGTCCTGGGGCACCACCCTTGGAAAGGAGGAAGGCAGTTCTCACAGGACCAGGTGGGAGCAAGCCTGGCCCCTCCTGCCCTCTTACTTCCTGTCCTGTCTACGTCACCACAGGGCCCCCTTTATCCCATGTGCCCCCCCATTGCTGTCCACCATGTCACGAAGCAACCAGAAGATCCTCACCAGAAGCCAACTGGACAGAGCCACCCAGCGGTGGACTTTCGGCCTCCTAAACTGTGAGAAAAATACACTTGACCCTTGAACAACATGGAGGTCAGAGGTACTGAGGCCTCTGAATTTAACCTTTGATTCCCAAAATAGGAGTTTAGGCTCTTGTTGACCAGAAGCCTACCAGAGAATACAAACAGTTGATTCATGCATATGTTATAAGAGATGTGCGTTGTATGGTGAAATATGTATAAGAACAATGAGAGATCACCCTTTTTACTTGGATAAGCAATTTACTGGCAAGTTGGACTGTGCATATGATAATCAGCATCACAAACAGCTTAAGCTGATAGTCACACCTCGGGAGCGCCCCACAACGCAAGAGGAGGTGGCCAGGACATTACCACAGCAGGACAGCACCACCACAGTCTAACATTTCACTTAAACAGCTTCTCACATTTCCCTAAGCCCCAAAGGGCACGGTGCATGGTCTGTGCTGCTTCCAAAAGGAAACGGGGAAGGCCTGTGCTTGCATAACTTTTGATTTTAAATTTTTCTAATAGTTGCATGCATATTTTATAGGAGTGAAGGATAAAATATGCTACGAACTACATAGTTTATGTATTCGTGATACGCCTAGGTTTTTGTTAATTTTGTTATTTCTAGGCAATACAGTTTGTCTTTGAGTATTTTCAAATTATTGCATCTCAAAAAAAAAAAAATGTGCCAGTAGACGTGATATGGGATGGGAGGCACGGTGTGGCAAAGCTGGCTAGGAAAATAAGTGGAACCTGTGGATTACAAGGTCCCTGGACAGTGCCAAATAATTCCCAGGGTCCTGGATGCGGAACTCCTCAGGGACTCCCAAGAGATGTGGAGAGCACATAAGCACGAAGACACCATCAGGAGCCCACTCTGCGTCACAGGGTGCACCTTCACTTTTGCTTTTATCTTTTCCACTCTCTGTCTGGCCCAAGGTCACTCTGAAGAGCCAGTTTTTCCCTTACCCCTTCACCTTTCACTCTCCAAATAAACTTTCCCAACCATTTTTGGCTTGTCTCACCCAATTCTTTTTTCAAGGCAAGAACCTGCAATACTTCTAATTGGCGAGCCATTTCTAAAGGAACTACCCTATAACAGATGGACCCTCACAATTCAACCTTAAGTGTTCAAAAGTGAACTGCAAACCTCTTTTCCTTATAAAGTGCCTAGCCTTAGGTATTTTGTCACAGCAGCGCGAGTCCAGTAAGCAGGGGCACAAGTAGCTTTTCTCCCACTTGTATTAAAAATGACAAACTGTAGTTTGTATGATAACAGGCTGTGCCTTTGTCACACTGTATTCCTGCAGAAACAAAATATAGAACAGCTAGAAACACCAGGCTGGGTCTTTCCCACTTGCTCCTTGAAAAATGACTCATACAGAGAACAGATATTTTCTCTGCAATATTTTCATAGGTTAGAATGTTCTCAAACATCAACAAAAATTCATGAGATTTATTTGTAAATGTGGAAAGAATCTGATTGTCTTTTTTCCTCTCTGCCAACTGCTTTAGTTATTAAAAGGATAATAAATGACCTAGAGGAAAAAATCAGGGTTGGAAGAGGCAAACCCTACTGAAATTAATCCAGTAAGTATAAGAAAGTTTTACCTTGCTGCACTGAGCTCATATTATACTATATCCTTCCATGGGGTAGGGGGGGAAGATATTACTATTACCAGCCAATGACCCATCAAGGCTGTATACCTTTTCTGATATAATTAACTCACGGAAAGATGTGCAATTCTTCCTCAAATCTCAGCATTCAGTCTACCGCCGTGGCTCTCACCCTTCTCTAGGGGGTAACACATCATATTTTAAGCCAGCTTCTAAAACTTGGAAAATGTAAAAATAAAATGATGTTGCTAATTAAAAGGATAAAATGGGAAAGTTCTCTTTCCATAACGGTTTCGCCTAAGTTAGGAGGGAAGTGGTTGTCGCATTTCTCCAGTGCTCATGAAAAACGCACTTGTGTCACTGTCGCCCATAAAGCAAAGGACGATGAATGTTAATTTTGAATTTAAAAATGTAGCTCGAAGAACATAATATCTGGCTGTAAATGTGTTCACAACTCGAGCACACAGCATTCTCTGATTTATACGATGTGGAGCAATCTTTCAGACATTGAAAAGTCCAGTCTCCCCCACCCACCCAGCTTGATGTCTGTTTGCCCCAAAGAATCTTGAAACTTTACAACAGCCACGATGAGAGTCTGCTGTGGACCCCTGAGAGCAAATCCTGCAAAGAGCAGCTCCAGGGCCAAGCGCAGCTTGCAGTATGTGGCTTGTTCCTGTAACTGTCCGCCAGGTGGCACTGCTGACCAGTTGGTAAAGGTCTAGCACAAAGGCCCGGAAAACGCCATAAACGTGAGTTTTATAAGGAAACGTCGCATAAAGCCCAGTTAAAGATGATTCCAGGGAATTTTCCTTCCTACAGCACTAGGAAATCTGAGTAAATTCTAGGCAATTCCAGGTTCTCCTAGGTGACTCCTGCTCCTCTAGTGGGTTTCGGTGCTTCCACAGCTGGTGTCTAGCGAGGCTCTGTATGAGGACCCTGAAATGTACAATGCAATTAGAAGCCTTCCAGGTAACTCTAGCTGTGCTTTGGCTTCCTTATCAAGGCTAAATCTCTTGCGAGGAAATAAAAAAGAAATCTTCAAAGTGACTCAAGGGGGGGAAATGCATCACGGAGCTCACTACTGTGCACAAACGCGTATCACACTTTCAATGGCACAGTAACACAGCGTAGGGGTGGCCGCCCTTAGGGACCCCCGAGTGTAGGAATAATCCACTATCCCTTAGAGAATCTATTTTCTTTTCTTTTCTAATTTTAGAAAAGTAATAGAGTACATATATCATAAATAAAGTAAAATACTTGGTTCAGGTCAGGGCAGTTCCCTTTTTTTTTTTTTTTTTTTTTTCAGCAAAATAAACCAATTCCCCATCACAAATGATAAAAAGGGTAAGTGGCTTTACATAAGTCCCCTCTTCTGGGCTTCCTCTGGCCAGGTGAACATTTCTCCAGTTTATGAAGAAAATAAGCACTCAGCATTCAGAGGCATTTTGGACTTAACAATTTGAATAAAGATGCAGTGTTTTCTCGGGGTGATGGGCCTGTCAGTCAAATCACCGTCAGATCCAGCTCACTGGGCTGCACTGTGGCTCCGTGAGGCTAAGGCTCAGCCGTGCTGTGCTCAGGCAGCACAGCCCGCAGCCTGGATTTGAACTCCAGCATTGTGAAAAGAGAAACAAAAACAAAAGATCTGGCCAAACAAAATGCACTGGGAAAATGTCAAAATATGTAGATTTACAACGTTAAAAAAGAAACAAAGTGAGAACCCACATTTCCATATCTCTGCACCCTAAGTTGAAAAGAAGACATATCCGTTTCAGAACCACCTCTATACTCCAAAAACCAAAGATCCCAGACCCAGGTTAATCAGTGAGGCAGAGCCCTGCTTCTCAGTCTGCTTTAGACCCCCGGGCCTTGCATAACAACAGTCTGCTGAATTGCATCCTCCACCTTGGAGAATAAGTGCCCTCAGGACACAGCTCTCCCGATGACCTAAGGCCTTTACGCGTTTCCACGGGGGTCTTGTTCCTCCTTGTGCCTTCCTTTCACAGTACCAGTACCTCTTGGCAGGTCGGTGGACTCACTCAGACCCAGCGATTGTGTCTCCAAGCCTCCCCACCACCGCTACCACCCCTCCGCGAGCACTCACTCAGTCCCACGTCGCTCTCTTCCAGGTCACGGTCCCGAGGAGCCCGGCGACAGCACAGTCTGTGGATGAGGAGCCCCAGGTGGCTGAGCACGATGAACGGGGGTGGCAGCCAGGGCTTCTTGTGGTAGGTCATGGTGTAGTGATAGCGGTTGTATTTCCAAAGCTTATTTGAAATAGACTTCATATCTAGATAAACGTTGCTGTATGTCGTGGAAAGACAGGGACAAGGTTTTAATATGGAATTCCGAAACACAGTCTTTATTTTCCAACTTTCTTTTTGTTGTTGTTGTTGCTGGGGTTTTTGTTGTTTTCACTTTTGTTCTTGTTTTTGAGACAGAGTCTCACTATGCAGTTTAGGCCAGCCTCAAATTCACTCTGTAGCCCAGGCTGGTCTCAAACTCACAGCGATGCTCCTGCCTCAGCCCCCTGGGTGCTGGGACTACAGGTGTGCACCACCACGCCCAGCTTATTTTCCAACTTTTCTGATTCACCTAACGTTAGCAGCAGTTAACCAAAAAGAAATAAATAACACCCACTGAATTTATAATTCTTCTTTCACAAGACCAAATATACAGATCACCTTTAATTATCAGCTAAGCTAATCAAAATAATGAGTAAAGGCAAAAATTACAGCGAAAGATAAGAAAATGGAAACATCTGCAACACAACAGACACTGCCCTCTTGCTTTTGGTAGCATCCGTGGGTCACCTAAGAAACGTGTTTTCAGTCCAAGATCTGTGTAGCCAGAGTAAGCAGCATTGATGTTCCTCCAGCCTTATGAAGATAGGCTCTTAAGGTCGTGTGAGGACTGCTAGAAAAACTCTAATTAAAACACCCAACCAGAAAATGACTGCTGAGGAAGTGGAAACAGAAAAGAATCAGTTCATTCTAAAATAAATCAAGAAGTAGAGTTTCTAATAGAAGCTCAATAAATTACTTGGATTAACTTCACACTAAAAGTAACTGCTCGGTAGGCTATTTTGGACTGTTGCTTAAATTATATGGAAAAGACAGTAAATGCTGATATTATAGGACTCAAGATGGAAGTTATGGCAGGTGGTACAGTTCTTTAAGAAAACGTATCAACCTTAATTACTTAAACATACAACATATGAGGGAGGACTCAAGACAACATCTTTTTGAACATTTTGCTTAGACTAACAAAATTGAGTTGCTTCAGGGAAAGACGGGAGGGCAGAACTTGAGCAGGGTACCAAGTTTACCAAGTAAACTACAGCTAACCTAAACTTGAGCTATGATAAAGAGAAAAAAAAACAGAGCTGCCCTGGAAGAAGCCACCATAGGCTAAGAAGGGGAAGGTTCTTATACAGTGCGGTAAGTAAAGGATCAAACAGAGACAACCATCCCAGAACGAGGGTCTCCAAGTGGGCCTTGCCCGGGGGCTGCTGAATCAGAACTGGGGGGGGGGCGTCACAGCAAGCTGTGCAAGTGCAAACCCTCCAAGGATTCTCCAAACAGTCAAGGCTAAGGGCCAATCACGTCGCTCCAAACGTGATGACAGCCTTCCGCCAGCAGGTGGCGACCTTTGCAGCGAATTTCAGGCTCTTTCTAATTGGGCGCGCTCAGCTCCTTTGGCTCCCTGTGTGATCACCTCCTGCCGCGAGAAGGTGAATCTAGGCAAGGGTTTCTCAACGTCTCTGGACACCTTCCCATTTTGTAAATTTTCTTTTTTATTACCATATGTTTGCAATACACAAGAATTGCACTCATTTTGGGAAACTGGCACGTACACATACGGCGCCCTGATAATTTCACTTCCTGTTCCCCCTTCCTGCCCTCCCGTCTTTCTCCAGCGCCAGACCCTCTTCCCACCTCCACAGTCTGCCTGCCTGTGTCCTATCATCTCTGCTTTATTTTCCTCTTTACATTGTTCATGTGTTGAGTTTCTTATATAAGAAACCATCCACACCTGACCGTTTTGAGAAATAAAAATCTCACACCCTCTCAATTATTGGAAATATAAAAGATGGCTACGGTATCTGAACACCGAAAATGTCACAGGGTGAGATGTAGGGCTAAGAGAGAGGTTAGCTGACAGAGCAGACAGGACAAGGAGGAAGAGACGCCCTTCCCATACATATGCAAAAACTCAACAACAGACTTTTGTAAAAGTATTTTGAACTTTCTGTCCGCCTCCAGCCCTTACCTTCTCTACTTTCTTTACTGAGATTCTAAGCATTAATTTTTCCTTTGTTATCTTTCTCACTTCACACAATGCCCTGCACAGTGGCAGAGAAGAGGTTTCTAGAAAGTACCAGCTGCCTCCCCTGGCTTTACTTGGTTTCCTTCATCTCAACGTGTATTAAAGAAACATGCAGCAGACGTGTTTGGGATAAATTTATGAGTAAAATAAAGCAGAAATGACTTGTGCTCCAGTCGAGGCTCCAGTTGAGAACAGAAGAAAGGAAACAAAGACAGAAGCGGAGATTACATTAGGAGGCTCCACGGTAGCTGCGGGTAGTGAGAAGCACTCAGCCTGGCAAAGGCGGAGTTAACAGGAGACCCTGGCAGTCAGAGGTGGAGGAAGAGGGGAGGCTGAGAGCTGGACACCCCAAACTTGAGAAGTGGGCTACCCTCCTGACTCCAGAGGGCAGGGGCCGCTGGGTCCGTGTGACTAAAGTTTAAGGAGAGCTGGGCTAGATGTAGGTGAAAATGAACAAGGTCACAGAAAAAAGGAAAAGCAATGTTTGGGCCCAGAGACATTTTAATGTGCAAAGGCTGGGGGTGGTGAGGATGATCCGTAGAAAGAAGACTGGAGGCAAAAACGAAAGCAAGGGAGAAGAAAATAGAGAAACGGCTCTACCAGGAGCCCAGGGAAGAAATCATCCCAAGAACTCCATGGCCAACATGTGGCTTCGTCAACTTTACCTTGCACAGCCAACGCGCGGCTGCGTGGCAATTCTCCGTCTCCTCTCATGCCACGTTCACTGCTCGCTCGCTCTCTCTCTCTCCCTCTTTCTATCTCACTGCTTTCCCACAGCATCGCCCCTTCCTACCAGGGGCTTCTCGTCCATGCTACAAAACCACAGGAACCCGCAGAGGCCAAAGGGCACATGCACCACAGGAACGAGAGGTCCATTCCATGTCCCTGTCCCCATCTTCCTTTAAATAAAGCCACCGTTTTTAATTAGAACCACCTACTTGAAGAAAGCAATCAGCAGGTTCACCATGATGATGTACTGCACGAAGAGGTAGACAGCTTGCAGGAACGGGGTAAGAAAGGAGCCCGGAGGGCAAGACGGATCCTCTTCACAAACTACAAATAAGGAATTCGGAAGAATGAGAAACGAGGCACGTCACAGTCCTAAGACGCTCCACAGACACTGAACATCCTATCTCTGCAGAATATCACAAACTTTCTCCATCTGTAAGATTCAGCAGACGAACGGATAAAGAAAATGTGGTATTTACACACAGTGGAGTGCTACTCTGCCATTAAGAAGGATAAACTTGAGTCATCTGTAGGAAAATAGATGCACCTTGAGACTATAACATGCAGTGAAATAAATCAGACACACAACCTTAAATATCTCATGGTTTCTCTTATGTGAGAAACCCAGAATAAAAATAAAGAGCAAAAGAAGATAGGTAGCAGGGAGTAGGGAGATGGATTGTTCTGAAAGGAGAAGGGGATGAAAAGATAGAGGGGAGAAAGGAAAAAGATAAGAGAAAAAAAGGAATCAGAATGTGTTACGTACATGGAGCAACTCCACACAAAGGCCGCAAACATTGCACCCCGCAAACATGTACAAAATTAAAAAGGAAGGGCATCAAGAGGTGGGTGGAAGGAGAAACGGAGGGGAGGAGAAAGGGACAAAAAAAGGAATAAAGATGTGCGCTGTACATGTACCAGCTCCGCACAAGGAGTGCGAACAATACGCACCACACACACGTATGAACAACCTCAAGTGAAGGGTTTGGCCGGGCGTGGTGACACGCTCCTGTAGTCCCAGCACTTGGGAAGCCGAGACAGGAGGATCACTGTGCATTCAGGACCAGCCTGAACTACACAGCAAGACTCTGTCTCAATAAGATAAAATACTCAGATGACTACTTTCCAGGTTTTCTTTTTACCCTGAGCATCTATCAAGATTCAATTTCTGGGGCTGGGGATTTAGCTCATTTGCACCACATCTGCCTTGCAAGGGCAAGGTCCTGAGTTCAATCCCGGTACCAAAAAAAAGACTCAATTTCTTCATGGTGTCAAAACACCAGGTGTACCATCTATTTCTGAAGCGTAGACCTCCCCATACATCATCCAGTACGGCTCAAACACAACATCTCGAGCAAGTTTCCAAGACGGAGGCTCATGCGGTGAAAGGATGGCCTTGCGTGCCACTCCGAAGCTCAGCAGGACAATGGCCATAATGATTACGATGTAGAACATATTCGCGCTCTGCAAAACAGCATCACACAACCAGAGTTTTACCACCAACTTGGAATTCAGAACAAATCAAACTCCAGCTACCATCCTACCCGTCCTTTTCACTAATAAGACTAACCCGGGCGTGGTGGCCCGTGCCTATAATCCCAGCACTCAGGAAGCTGAAATCCGAGGATCTCAAATTCAAGCCTAACCTGGGCAATTTAGCAAGACTCCATCTCAAAATAAAAAAGGGCTCAAAATGTAGCTCAGTGCAAAGGCCCTGGTTTTAACTGCAGTACAGAGGAAAAAAAAAAAAAAAAGACTGCCAGTCTTGTACTAAAATGCCCTAGTCCACGGACAGCTGCCTTTGCTTTGGCTAAACTATTTTGTCTTCCCTTTTTTCTGCACATATGTGTTTCAAGTCAATACGATCTTTGGAACCACATCAATTTGCTGAGACTAAAGAATGTGTGCTTCTGTGCTGGAGCAGTCGTGAAATGAAAACAGCTTTTGACCAGCTAACACCGAACGATTCAACAACTGGACAAGAAATTAGTTTGGGAAAAGAAAAAAAAAAATATATATATATATATATACATATATAGCATAGTATATTCAGATTATTCTAATGCCTGCTTATCCCCAGGATTACCTTATGCAATTGTTAACTCAGAAACTGATGAGTCTAGCGCCCCTTCACCTATTAAGTGTGCATCAACTCAACCTATCTGCTCGCTGTGGCAGGGACAATATTGGCCAGAATTTCCTGCTGTCTAGACATTTCCTATCTTGCTTCCAGTCGTTTGGGTTCAAAAACTAAAAGCCATTAGACCTTCCTCATCACCTGCATTCTCTGCCGTGGGAGACCTCAGAAGCCGAACTGACAAGGTTACACCACGAAATAGAGGGACTCTGCCTTCCGGAGTCACTACAGCGCCCATGAAGCCTCGCTTTAAGGAGAAATGGCCTGAGGTGTACTAGCTTCTTCATCATGGCCCCTCTAATAAATACCAGTGTTATCAAGACCAGAGAAAACATTTCCAGTCTAAGAGAAAAGTGCCAAGAAAGAAAAATCTCCCTGGAGTCCTGCAGTCTTCACTTCTCTGCCAACTTTCTCGATTTCCCGACCTTCCCCTCCCTCTCCAGAACTTATAAACTCCAGCTACCATCCTACCCGTCCTTTTCACTAATAAGACTAACCCGGGCGTGGTGGCCCGTGCCTATAATCCCAGCACTCAGGAAGCTGAAATCCGAGGATCTCAAATTCAAGCCTAACCTGGGCAATTTAGCAAGACTCCATCTCAAAATAAAAAAGGGCTCAAAATGTAGCTCAGTGCAAAGGCCCTGGTTTTAACTGCAGTACAGAGGAAAAAAAAAAAAAAAAGACTGCCAGTCTTGTACTAAAATGCCCTAGTCCACGGACAGCTGCCTTTGCTTTGGCTAAACTATTTTGTCTTCCCTTTTTTCTGCACATATGTGTTTCAAGTCAATACGATCTTTGGAACCACATCAATTTGCTGAGACTAAAGAATGTGTGCTTCTGTGCTGGAGCAGTCGTGAAATGAAAACAGCTTTTGACCAGCTAACACCGAACGATTCAACAACTGGACAAGAAATTAGTTTGGGAAAAGAAAAAAAAAAATATATATATATATATATACATATATAGTATAGTATATTCAGATTATTCTAATGCCTGCTTATCCCCAGGATTACCTTATGCAATTGTTAACTCAGAAACTGATGAGTCTAGCGCCCCTTCACCTATTAAGTGTGCATCAACTCAACCTATCTGCTCGCTGTGGCAGGGACAATATTGGCCAGAATTTCCTGCTGTCTAGACATTTCCTATCTTGCTTCCAGTCGTTTGGGTTCAAAAACTAAAAGCCATTAGACCTTCCTCATCACCTGCATTCTCTGCCGTGGGAGACCTCAGAAGCCGAACTGACAAGGTTACACCACGAAATAGAGGGACTCTGCCTTCCGGAGTCACTACAGCGCCCATGAAGCCTCGCTTTAAGGAGAAATGGCCTGAGGTGTACTAGCTTCTTCATCATGGCCCCTCTAATAAATACCAGTGTTATCAAGACCAGAGAAAACATTTCCAGTCTAAGAGAAAAGTGCCAAGAAAGAAAAATCTCCCTGGAGTCCTGCAGTCTTCACTTCTCTGCCAACTTTCTCGATTTCCCGACCTTCCCCTCCCTCTCCAGAACTTGCTGCTTCCCTGTCGTGAGACATCTAGAAGGCACAGCCATGGGTGGTTTTGAAACTGTGCTTCTAAAAGAGGGTGGGTCTCAGGTACTTGAAAACAGCCACATGGCAAAGGCTGACTCAGTCACAGCAAGTGAGGGGACAGACGAGAGCCAGCAGGGATCTGGGCTTCCCTGCAGGTGCCCTGGAAAACTTATATCATCTCCAGTTGTTGCATGAAAAATGTGAGTGGTGATACCACTTATTTCACAGAGCTGGGACAGAGATCAAAGGATTAAGACACAGAGAGTACTTGGTAAGTGTGCAGCTCGCGGTGAGCACGATTAAAGATTGTGGTGGAAGAAAGTGAGTCAGACAGCAATAATGACATTTTAGAAGAGAATACTACTATTGCTTACAGTTTCACGCAAATCAAGCCCTGGGTAATTACTGCGCTCAGAGACTAATCTGACTCCAATCTGTATCATCAGGTCCTAACCAAAAAGGTAAGCTGAGCACCTGCCCAATATGCTATCCAAGGGTATTTATTAAACAGGAGTCTGGGTCACACAGCAAGCAGTGATGAGAAGATCCTGCCGTCTGTGCTCTTAGAAACCACTCCAAAAGGTAAACAGCTGGATGCGAACCATGAAATTAGGTGGAACCACTGCAAAGGAGCCCCTCGTGTAAAAGCAGGCTGACCTACCATTTTTGCGATCATAGTGACATAAGGGCCTGCATGTTGGTTCACAGCAAAGAAGTCCAGGAGCCGTGAGAACCAGAAGATGGTGTCGATGCAGTAGATCAGCCTGCCCACTGTTTGAAAAGGAGGCCCATGCCACCGGAGGCAAAAACCAACTGAAAACAGAGTAATGGCCACAGTCTCCATCAGGTTCCAGTACTCACTCATCCACACCTTCACCTTTTGAGTAAACTTCTCCGGTTCTGAGATACAGATCTAAGGAAAGAAAGAAAGACAAACTTAACAGGATGGAGTTCTGATTCGGCAGTCATATGCTTGACTTGCATCAGGCAAAAAAAGAAAGAAAAAAAAAAGAATGTGGTACAGGGCTGGACGAGGAGCTCAGGGCTCTTGCCTGACACAGCCAAGTCTTTGCATGATCCCAGAGGCTGGGGGAAGAGGACTTCATGACCCAAGAATCCCATCTTCCTGAACACATCTCCGACTCCTTTAAAGAGTCATGTAAAACACCGCTCAGGGAATGGAAACTTAGTTACTCTCAGAACTATTTCAATAATTGATGTGTAATGCCTATTGGTTACCATAATAAAAAATTAAGCCAGGAGTCTAGACAGTCCCATGAAAACTCAACTAGAATCTTTTAAAAGAAAAGTGCTTTTCCTCATTCTCACTAACCCTAAACTAACATGGAGAAGGACCAAGATGTTTAAAACTCAACACTGCGATGGATCTGCTCAGCTAGTGCGTCCTCCCATCTTAAGCTGTTGAAAAACTACTAAGAATGTGTTGCTGGAACGCACTATGTGAGAAATTACCAATGAAATGCTATAGCAGACAAATCTGAATATAAAACAGTAAACCTATTTTCCATGAATAGAGAACTCAGACAATATTTATCTCTTGAATTATTGTCTGCAATCTATAAGTCCATATAGGTAACTAGCGGGCAATATATTTATAGGAATACATTTACTTGTATATAATGTCGATTAGATTTTATATGTTTAGGACAAATACGTATAAATCCATAAACATTAAAATACATGTACACTGACATCTAAGAGTCTTAGGTCAAAATTATTTGAGAATGTAGTTATAATAGCATTGAAATGTTAATGTACAAGAGACTAATTGCAACCTACAAATTAAAATTTTGTTTTCTTTTGTTTCTTGGACTGGTTGTCCCAGACAGTTTTAGCTTCAATTTTCAGGAAACTTTAAATACCATAAATGCATTCCTTATTTATTATGACATTAGCTATTTAAGCGCCACTCTGAGAGGTGAAATTCATAATATATAGATAATACTAGGCTTTAAAAATCAACCCTACCAAAAAAAATAATGCTTGGGACAGGGATTTAGCTCAGTTGTTCTGCTGCCTGCTTTGCAACCACAAGTTTCTGAGTTCAATCCCCGGGAGCCCCCCCAAAAAATAACACTGGATGAAAATTAAATAATTGGAGAGTTCAATAACCATTAGACAGCATCGCCACAACTCTGGGACTGATAAACACCCTGAGATGTCTGCTTCAAAGGTAACTGCTTCCAAAGTCCAGCACCCAGCAGAAAGTATTTGGCAAGGACAAAGGGTTGAAATCAGGAATCTCCCCATCACCTGCAACCAACGCAGGATGGGCATTTTCTCTTTCCCTCCCACCCCCGATGTCCATTCTCATCAGCAGGGATAAGAACACTTCTTGCTTCCAGAGGGCTGCAGAAGGCAAAGGCGGGAGAGAAACTCACCTCCCTGACTTTGTCAATAGCACTGGAGAAGATGTAAAGGATAACAAGCCACTCTTGCATGCTGGGTTGGGGCTGCATCTCCACCAACACCGTGTAAGTGAACAGCATGAGGAACGCCAAGTATGCCACCTGTGAGGGGACACACAGGCCCTGGACGTGAGCGCAAGGACACACCGAGGGGCCGCGCAGGCACAGGCGGGGCCGCAAAGAGACGCAGGCATGAATTTCAACATGGTAACATGAGAATAGCACCAGGACCCCCTTCGGATTGGTGATGACCTGGTATCGAAGCAAGCAAAAGAATCTACGGTTTCCTGGTCTAGGGGTGGGGTGACAAGAACAAAAATACGTACATGGAAAGAGACGCTGTCTCTCCCCCTATCTTCTGACCCCCGTCCCCACGGCCCTGTGCGTCCCGGTGCGGACAGTGGCAGGCTGACAGCAAGCCGAGGAGGAGGCCCCCACTGCTCAGCTTGAACACACACGTCCTGTGTGCCAGGGTGACCGATACCCGCGATGCACGTTTCCAAACACAATGCACTGTGACAGTCACTGCTGCCGGATTTTTATTGTGCTTTGATTAAAATATTCTGGCTAATAAAAATTGGACCCAACCGTAAGCTCTTACATTTGAGGAGTGATTGTGGCTAGTTTTATTATCAGCACTCAGCCTGACACGTGGTAGACATTCCACAAATGCTTGTTTAATTGCTAACTGTATATGCTATTCCTAGACTCTAATCTGCCCAGAGAATTAAAACACACATATGTACAGAGTGACTAACAGTATACAATCTTATCTAACGTCCTTATCTTCTTAAGATATACTCCCTTATAGCTGGGCACCTACATTGAAAACTGAGACAGATATTACTAAATTATCTGGCAGAAAAGTCTCACCAACTTACAGTCCCTGACAAAGTGTGAGCCGTGCAGTCTGTAAAGAGATGCAGAGTGGATGCGTGGCACTCACTAGTCTGTACTTAGATTTTGGAATAATGGCTCAGGAGGCAGAATGTTCATTCTCACGAGAAACATTCGCTCCTATTTTTCATATCCTTTTGAACTCTAAGTAAGTCTGTTCTGAGTTCTGCACACAAAACAGAAGGAGTGGCTTATGGGTTTCTAAGTACACTAAAATGACATTTACAAGTGAAACTTGGGGTTATTGTTGCCTCTGAGTAATGAAGCACAAAAGAAAGTTATGGTTGTGTCCCATAACTCTGTCCTCTTGGTCCTTGCCCCAGAGTCTGAGTGTTTGCTTGTTTGTTTGTTTTCTCAGTGCTCTGATGGAACCCAGGGCCACATGCATGCTCAGCAAGCTCTCTCCCAGTGAGCCACATCCCCAGCCCATGGAGTCTGAGTACTTTTGATGACTACTTAAGGACCTAACTTAAGTACATTGTTTAACCAAGCAGTCATTTCCTTATATTTTTGTTCTTGATTCCATGGTGACCAGATAAGCAATTCCTTCACTTTTACATAATATATGACTGTATGATTAGGACAGATTTATTAACAAAAGGCTAGAAATGTACTCAGTAAATAGCTGCAAAGTAGCATAAGTGCCTCTAGCTGAGAACAGGTTGGGTGCCTACTAGTTCAGTCCATTTGCTCATTAGTCCAAAGTGACAATGTACACAGCCAAAAGCAACCAAAGTATTTGCATCTAGGTAAAACATGCTGCACTGAATAGTCTGTTTGGTAGTATTGCTTCTTTTGTTTGTTTGTTTGTTTGTTTCCTTACTAGTAATTGAACTCAGGCCCTTGTGCTTGCCAGGCAGGCACAGCACCACTGAGCTACATCTCCAGCCCTGGTAGTGTTGCTTCTGACTCTTTGGGTTTTTTTCCGATATTAAAAGTTTGACCCAATAATGTTTACATTTTTGCTTTTCTATCACAGCTCCAAATGCCCAATATCAGCTGCACTGACTGCTAGCACTCCAAGAATGGAGAAAATGCTGTTCTCAAATTCCCAAAGCAGGACAGCTCCACTCTAACCTCCCTCATCATCCTCCAATATGCTTTCCTGTCTACTTCATCGTCCTCCCACTAATCTAGACAACATTTCCATATTTTTAGCTCAAGTTGGCAAATCAAGCATTATCACTGTCAGTATTATCATTAGCTAGTAACTATCATTAATACAAAAGGTGCTGCTGCAACGAGACCAACCGTGTAGAACCAAAACTTGACAATAGGGGCGCTGTAGAACTCATACACTTTCCTGGTCCAGGGAAGGCTTTGGGACCGGTTCCTTAGATCAGAGTGCTGACTTTCATCCAGCTTCTCATCAGGGCCCCTTTCCAAATCACAGTCTTTCTGTAAAATAAATAAACGGTTTTGTAGGAATGGAGCGCAGTGGAGGAGCTCATGTTCTGCTTGTATGAGATCTCCGCTTCGATCCCCAGAACCTCCACACAGTAACAGTGACAATTATGGCATTATTATGATCAATAATAATTTCTCATCAGTGGGCTTTACTCAAATGTTGACAGATGGAGACATGCAGAACATAATAAATGACATATTATAAATTAACAGGGCACACAGCTTTCAAATTGTAGTCTTAGCCCTGGAGGGAGACAAATTTGCATTATTATATAAGTCTTTGACCAGGTAAGAATGTAGGGTATTTCTGAAATGCCAGCTGAGTGTCCACTAATGAAATCAGTCTCTACTCCTGTTTTGATTAATCTCATTTAGTCATAATTTTGGAACCCAAGAATAATCATAAAATCCCCCACGAAATCACAAATGGACGACACATTCCCTCCATACGAGACAACAGAACGCACATGCCTCAATGAAGCATCTTTTCCAACTCACAGGAAAGCCAAGTACAGTGTCCATTTGAGGGTTGTGGCCTCATTCATTTAGATGAAAGGGTCTCTGCCTGGAGTTCAAGGGCTCACCGAGCTTTCAGAGTTTCCTGAACACTCTGCAACCACATCCAGGCATTCGTGTTGTACGTGCATTTTTCTAGGGAAAGATTTAGTCTTTCACTGGTTTTTTTAAAACGTGTGCCAGCCCAAAGGTAAAGGTGTGAGCCTTGAGCAGCTGCGGTAGAGCAGGGTCACTTGGAAGAGGCCACACGCAAAGGAGAAAAGAGCAGAGAACAACAGCCCTGGTACTTTGGTTGCCTTTGAGAAGAAGAATATAGAGAACATGAAGCACACAGAGAGGGTGGAGGAAGGAGAAATGTTATCCTACTTTGTGAAGCTTTAATTTGTGTTAGGAAATGCATTTTGTTATACTTGCAAAGTAATATTTAAAGAAAAGGGTCCTCTGTGCTGTCTCTCATGCCAGCCTGCTTCTTCAGTCTTGCCACAAAAACTCCAGCTCTATTATCAGATCTGCAAGATTCAAGGGACTTTTTCACGCCAGGGAATGAATCAAATTTTGCTGGAGTTGTTTGTACGGCGACAGAGAAACATAATGTTTTGTAGGCTCAGGCATCTGGATGGGTCCCCTTTGCTGCCTCGTGTACTTTGGTTCAGTGTACTTTGCGCAGCATGTCTGAGATAGTTACTCAGAGATGCAAGAACTGACCTGGTTCCTAACAGGTTTGAACCAGCCTGGGACTAAAGTGGCTTGAAAACAGCAAGAAAGTCACCACTTCCTGACTCACTATGTCAATGCCACTTCAAAAGGACCCCAGAAATCAATCTAAGTAATGACCTTGTTACCAGATCACTTCTATTACTTTTCCTAAAAGGCTTTATTAGGTCTCGACTGCTCTTCATACTTTGGAATAGACTGTGGAGGATACAAAGTTCTCACTAAGCCTATCTTTGAATTGAATTAAAAGACAAGAGCAATCATGAAGACCATGTGAGAGTATTAATTGAGACTCGGGCTTTTTTGCCCTTAGAAGAAGGTGAAGATAAAAATATTTTGCTTTAGCTAACTTTTATTCCATTTAAATCTCTCCCCCTCCCTTCTCTCTTCCATTTTCTTCTCTCTAACAGTAATGAGATACCAGCAAGCACACAAAATAAAATACAACTAAAATGATCAACTTTTAGCTCTAACAGATCTTATTACTCAGCTTAACATTTTTCATTAGATCTAGCAACATTTCTAAGAGAAAGTGCATCTCTGCTTTTCCAGATTCCCATGTCTCTTCGAGACGGCCTTGTTGTAATCATAAACTTCTCAGTTGCTTACCTCCTCTCACCTGCATCCCATTTTCCACTCTTCATTTAACATCTGTTGGTTCTGCTACGGAGCCTGGCCAATGCCCTTATTATTTGTCACCTACGTGGTCACCGTTGCTTACACCCTCCCTGCCCCCAACTTCCTTCTTGCTAACCTATACTATACACCGAAGGCAAAATCGTTTTCCTGACCGTCGAGTCCTTCTGCTACACGTATATTGGTTTTCTGGGGAACCCTTCACAGGACGCACAAAAGTCTTTCTCAGTCTCCTTTTCCAGTCATGCCCGCAAACACTCGCTCCCTACTCTGACAAACCACACAGCTGCGAAACTTCACTATGAATTTCCACATTTCCTGCCTCTGGGCCCTACTTACAGCTTCCTTCCCTGAAACACCCTCAAGTCACAGCTCAAACAGCACCTCTAGCTTGAGGTTGCCACAAATCCCTCATCCTCACCACTACAGAGGAAACTCCCTGTCTCCCATTGTGTCATCTTCTACATCTGTTCCTGAGACAGCTCAAACCATAACGCGCCAAGTTTTTAAAGGTGAGCAGCTAGGGAGATTTAAACTTTTCTCGGCAGTTATTTTGCCTGTAGAAAGTTCAATGAGGGAAGAGGTTTCAGCTGAATGCCATGGTGCATACCTGAACCCCCAGCAACTCCCAAGGCTGAGGCAGAAAGATCACTTGTGCCCAGGTAGCAGAGAATATCCTGAGCAACATAGCAAGGCCCCATCACACAAAAAGAGGAGCTTTATTAAAGCTCACAGATCATAGGCAGTACATGATTCTATACAGCGTTAGCTCATTGACAATGGCCTGCCCTATTACCACAAGTGGCATCATTATGTTTATATTTGCTACCAAATGCAAAGCACAGAAACACTAATAAAGCACCTGTGTTCTTCAGTTTCCTCCCGTGACACTTTCTGCAAATTATGTTGCTCAACAAATTAATCCCATTTACTTAATTAGCATTATGAAATTGTACACATTCACCAGGGTCGCCTCCATCACCTCCTACTATGTAGCAAACTTCTAAACCCAAATCAGCTCATCAGTAATTGCTGTTTAAATTAAATTTAAAGGCTAAAGCCATTCCTCATAGAACATACGTGAAATGCTTTGCAAGAGATGTTTTAAACTGGGCCAGGGATTTACCTCAGGGGTGCCACTGCCTGCTCACAAGTGCAAGGTCCCAAGTTCAATCCCTAGTACCACAAAAAAATAACAATAACAATAAATAAATAAATGTTTTAAACTGAATAAGAGTAAGTCTGTGCATGGGTATCCTGTCTGACAATAAACCCCACAGTGGCAGAAGCCATACCTGCCTCAGTTAAGAGCAGGGTCCCTCACACCTTCTGTCTTTGGTACATGGAAGAAGGCGATTAAATGTTCACTAAATTCATAAATTGATATAGCTACATCCAAACCATTCGGGTGGGAGATTGCTAGAACAAGTCAATAGCCAACATGTGATTTTTTTTTTCAGGGAATTGTAAGCAAGATAGCACATTTTGTAATGTTAAGAGTACACTTAATTGCCATTCAGAAAAGGAATTCTTCCTCTGGGTCTCTCCCTTGAGAAGGATTGCTCAGTGCCATGCTACAGCTCTCTACAAGTCCCAAAGTGTTTGAAGTTACAGACTCAACAAAGTACTATCTGCTATGGCCCGGAAATAACTACCAGTAGATTTATGTGTTTGTTCTAAACAGATAATTGATAGATAAACAGCTTTCTTCTGTGTTCACTTCAACAACCATACTAAACCGAAAGGGAACAATGAAATAGGCTGAAAGCCACAAAGAAATGACCCAAACTTAGTAAAGCCTTCTTCTAGTTGGTATAGTCACCAATGTGACATTTTAACTGGCCCAGATTAGCAAGAGATGACTTCTGACACATTCTGCAGATGTTAGAACGTGCCTGTCCTCTTGGATTCTGAGAACCCCAATATGGAGCCATCAGACAGACAAAAGAAAGGGAAGGGGAGAAAGAAGGAGGGAAGGAGAGAGGAAAAGAGGGAGGGAAGGTGGGAGGGAGAGAACGCCGCACACATACCCAACATGAGTGATATTCCAAATCTTTACAACTGATCCGGCAGAAACACTAGCCAATCAGAATGGGTACTCAACGAATCACCAACAGATGTCAGCCATGAACCACTATTATTAGTTTTCATTAGTATTTACTGAGTACATCTTTAAAGTTTATAACAAATGCCTCATCTGTCCAAAAGCACATAAGACAAGATGCTAAAGATACTTCACTCAAGTATAAGTAGCAGGGAAGATGCTTGCCACACCTCACAGCACATGACAATCTTATAAGGCGTGATCCAGTGGGGACGTACAAAGTCAAGAAAACATTCACAGCACATCAGACACTTCACAGTGAAGATGGTCTGTTCGAAGGGGTGGCTCAAGTTATCCAGGGAAGAGAGCACATCTAAACTCACATGAAACTACACAGAGCCCCTGGATAATGCGTGAAACGCTTGTGGAGGGAAAGGGTGGAATCAGCATGAAGTCCCCCCGGGCACATTTATAAATGAGGATTTTAGGGTTATGAAGCATTTCTCATTGTTGCTTTAGAGTAGTAATCTATTGACTCCATCACTTACAGTGGAACCTGAAACTTTAGAACAGCTGTTCCTTACAATAAAGTCTTTGGTTTTTGTAACAGAATATTTTGCTCACTTATAGCCAGTGGATAATTGGGCAGAAGACAACATAATGCCGAGCTGATGAGTCAGAGGCATTTTTGAGTAATGTACAACACGAGACACATTGCTGGATGGAAGCAATGGCAACAGCCATTTTTAACAGATCACTACATAAACAAACATTAGGGCTGTGCGTGTCTGTGTGCAGTCGATACCACGAAAGCCCCATTTACTGTGCCACTAGACTCACCATGCACGTGTTCTCTTTGGCACTGCCGGGGCTCTGGTCACTGTAATACCACGCGAACTGGAAATCCTGGGACTGGGGCACATGCGACATCTCAGCTTTGCTTTTAAATTCCAAAGTCAAAATGGTGGGTGGCAAAAGAATACTTGTGATGATCTGACACAGGAAACAAGATGCAGTAAGTAGTAGAAAGTACTCAACATGTCGCACTATTCAAATGAGAAAGCTAAGAATGTAAGCACATGGTAAAAATATCATATTCATCCTCTGCTCAGTTTATATCCTGATCCTATATATAATTTTGACCCAATGATTTCAGTTCTGCAAGTGCCTCCCTCAGCAACACCTGTGTGCACAAGCATGCGCAGAGAAGGATGTCCGCTGCAAAGTTATCGGCAAAGCAAAAACCTAGTGGCGACCTAACTAGCGTGTATGATGGTGCGCTCCTGTAATTCTAGCACTCAAACGGCTGAGGTAGAAGGTTTATGAGTTTGAGGCTAGTTTTGGGCTGCATACTGAGACCTTGTCTCAAAAAAAAAAAAAAAAAAAAAAAAACCAAAGCAAAATAAAACAAACAAACAAAAAAACTGAGTGACAACTTACAGCTTAAACATCCACCTACACAAGGACAGCTGGTAAGGAACAACCTAACAGTGGAATAGAGATGCAATGCTAACTAGAATGAAAAGGTATCCACACAATACTAAGCGATAAAAAGCAAACTATAGAACAATATATACCAGGCATGGCAGACACCTGTCCTCCCAGCACTTGGGAGGCTGAGGTAAAGGAATCGCCGTGAGTTCAAAGCTAGCTTGCACTATACAGGAAAACTCTGTCTCGAAAAAAACAAACAAAATTAAATTAAAAATTTTTAAATGCCCCAGTTTTGTAAAAAAAAAAAAAAAAAAGTTTTCATGGTGAAATGATCTTTGTTTTGTTTATCGGCTGATCTCCTGATCTGCAAAGACTCTCTAGACTTCCTCTAATTCTGACGGAAGTTCGTTCATGTGTTTGTTTTATTTTCAGATGTAGAACCCAAAATGCATATCCCCTTCTAGGTCTAGAACATAGTTATCACGCTCAATGACAGGACTGGTTCCTAACCCACTTCCTGAAGATGCCTCTGTTGCCCTGTGGGACTGTGGTAACAACTGGCTTGTGAGATAAGCATTGACTGATACCAGGGAAACCAATCCCCATCTCCAAAAGGTAGGTTGGGGTCTACACACTAAAAGCATTTCACTAAGGTTCCCCTCCACATAATTCCACACGGCACTCCTACAGTCTCGTAGGTCTGGAATTAGTCTAGCCAGGACAGCTTACAATTATTCACAAGTCTGCTCCTAGAACACACAAGCTAAGCACCAATGAGTTAGGTTCTAGGCACTGAAGAAGAATAGTTCACTGCAGCTCGAAAATTTTATTAACTTAGTCTATGTTTGGGGGCAAAGCATTTCATCTTTCTCCAAGTAAGTCTCATTTTGGGGTATGAAGTCACAAAAATTCATTAAGTTCTCCATAACAGTAAGGTTAGTAAGCTGAAATATGCACAGGACATAGCTAGGAGGAAAACTATTTCTCCTACTATCAGTTACATAAATCCCACTTTTCTCCCTGAATATTTAAGGAGAGTGGTTGCCCGAGTGAACTCGTTTACATTTCTGCTTCCTTACCTCCAAGGCTGACATCAAAGCAGCTCAAAAGGGAACTTCTGGAAACTCACCCCTTCTCTGGTACTTGCCAAAGAAGAGTCTATGAGATAACACTTGACTGACATTTCCCTCATCTCCCTAATCGCATTGGTGGGAAGCAAAATCCACAAACTCTTATATGTTTTATGATTTGCATCCATCATTTCTTTAATACTGCATGCACCAAAAGTATTTATTTTAGAGCAGTCGTTCTAGGTGGGATACATCATATTTTTAAGGAAGAATTAAATTATTAAATGCTTACATGACTTTTAACATGCGTGCCTGATCCCTTTAATTCACTTTCATCAACATATGTATTTCTCTTTTACTTTTTATTAGTGTATGTTTGTCAAACGTAATGAATATATTCATCATAGGGCATTGGCACGTCCACATATCGTATCTTCATCCTTCATACTTCCTCTTGTTTTTCTCTCCCTAGTCTGTCCCCATTCCTGGATTCCCTTCGCACTTCTATAAAGTCTATCTCCCTGTTCCTATCATCTTTTTTTTATTTTGTTTTTCAAATTTTTTGCATTTTGGACCTGGGTGTGGTGGAACAATGTGTGATCCCATCACTCGGTAGGCTGAGGCAGGAGGATCACTGCCCATTCAAGGCCAGCTGGGGATACATAGTGAGTTCAAGGCCAGCAGGAGCAGCTGCTTGTTTCAAAGCAGCAAAAACAAATAAATAATAAATAAATAAATAAATAAATAAATAAATAAATAAATAAATAAAAAATAAAATTTTTAAAATAAAATAAAATAAAATAAAATAAAATGTAGCCCAAGCTGGTCTCAAACGCACAGCAATCCTCCTGCCTCAGCCTCCCAAGTGCTGGGATTACAGGTGTGTACCACCACACCCAGCTTAACATGTAGTTCTTAATATTGACCACAAACTGAAGGAAAGAGCTAAGAATTTGGAGATGACTGGTGGCTTGAACACATGCTTAGGAACAACCTTACGAGGTACCCACTTATTCCCTGAAACGATACACTGGAGAGATAGAACAAGACAATGCAAGCTTACTTCCTTTCCTGCCTGTTAGCATTATGTCTTGTTTTTGGATGCTGGGGACTGACCCTAGGGCCTTATGAACATGAAGTACGCCCCCTACCTCTGATCCACAGGCCTGGCCTGGGTTTGCACTCGAGCTGAGCACTCACTCACTGAATCTCACTGAGAAGTCTCATTTACTCAGAACTATCAGAGACTCTGGCATTTTGTCATAGAAAAATGTTGTGCTTGCTCTTTCTTCTGAGCACTTTAGTTCACAAGAACATGTCTGCTGTGGACGCTTTAAAAGAAGTACAACTATACCCATTTTTGAAAAGTACTGTGGCAGTGAGAAATAAAGTACTCTTAGGAACTTCCTCTGGGACTACCGCAGCTCACCTGTGAGAAGACATCGTTTGTCCTGAGGTTATCCCTCCGGAACAATTTTTTAAGAACGGAGCGCAAGGTATGACCTTCACACTGACCTGACATTAACTTCTGTGGTGCATACATTTACCTTACACCAGGAATTCTTCCTCATCTTCAGACGTCCCACCCACATGTCTGTCAGCAGCATCTGGGTACAAGAATGCGAGACGAAAGGGTGCAGCCCTCCAGACGCGGCCAGCTTCAAGCAGGTGGAGTTGCTCCAGTTCTTAAGTTCGTACGTCAAGAGTTTCATGGCCATGGGCTCATTCTGCTTAAACGCCTTCTCCAGTACGTCCAGGGCCAGCTGGCCAAACTGCCTGCAATGAGCGTTCATGAATGGAGGCCACCACAGTTGGGGGGAGGGTGTTCTAAAGGATGGGACACAAGACTCAGGAAACACCAGTTAATCCGGCTTTATATATATATATATATATATTTTTTTTTTTAAGTAAACAGCAATTTAAAAATCTCAGCCTGCAGAAGCTAAAATAATGGCGCATCCACAGTGATTTTTCTCCCCGTCATGGGGGAGCAGAGCGGGGGTGTTTAGACTGCAGCACACAGAAATGAGCTTACACCCCAGGTACCTGTCAGGAGAAGCCACCCCACACCCTGTTACATGTGACACCTTGGCACGCAGCTCCCTGAAAAGTCCTGATAGAACTTCCTGTCTGAAAACACTGTTCAGAATTAACCTTCTGTCTAAGGAAAGTTGTTGGGATTTTTTTTTTTCATATTTTACAAAATGCCTTGATAACTTCAGAAATTACGTCCAGACATCAAAATTTCCCTCAGGAAATTCTCCATGAGGTTGTTTCCTCTGAAAAAGCTTTCATCCTCAAGAATTTCTTCAAAATAAATATTATAAATTCACTTCTATTATCTCTAAGCTTCTTTTCTTTCCTCACTACTACAACACTATAGCAATCCAAAAGCCCAAAGTACAGTACTTCTAACTTTTCCATCTTCTGCAATTACTCTGTAGTTCTTTAATATGATGCGTTCATTTAAGGTAAACAAAACATCTTAATTTAACTTAGGATCAAAGACTTTCAGAGTCAGAGGAACTTCAACATCATTCCAAAAGCACTAACTATAGTTAAAAACTGGAGCCCCATCACTTCTCAGCCCTTTGGCTACCATCAAGTGTAGAAAGTAAAGTGGAGAAATGTGGTCAGCTAGTCAGCTGGACTTCGCAGTAGTCAGCTGGACTGAGGACTCACTCTCCTGCCGGGAAGTCCTCCCTTTCTTATATTCCACAAAGTTCCTTCAAATCCTTTTCATAGGCCGGTCCACAAAATGCACCGTGTGACGGTTAGTGCTGGGAGTCACCTGGCCTGGATTAGGGACTATCTAGAGACCTCCTAGAGCATTTGCTTGTGTGTGTGTACAGTTTCACAGGGAAATCTGAGCAGCCTGAGGGAGGATCCACCCTCCACGCGGGCAGACGCCACCTAAACTGCCAGGGGTCCAAGGAGAACAAACATGAACAGTCTATTGGTCCCCCCCTCGAGAGCTGGGACATGCTTGTTTCCTGCACTGGACATCAAAAATCCAAGATCTGCAGCTTTTGGATTCCAAGACTTACGCACCAGCAGCACCCTCACCAGCTGTCAGTTTGAGCTAAGAGCTACACTGCTGAATTTCCTGGTTCTGGGGTCTTTGCATTTGGACTGAGCCACACTGTGGCATTCAAGGGTCTCCAGCCTTCAGGCAGCCTGTCGTGGAACCGTTTGGTCACAGTAATATCATCAAATCCCTCGTTAATCCCATTATATCTGTCTCTACCACACATGCACATGGCAGTAAGTACTGGTCTCACCAGTCTTAGGGTGAGAAAGATAAACGTGTCTAAATGTGCCCATAATAGCTCTTACTTTGAGTAACTCTTCAGCTCTTCTGAGGTATCATCTACCATGTTGCTCTCCTTAGCTTCGTGGGCCATGGCTCTGTAAAGGATATAAGCGATCACAGCCTTAACTGTGGCCTCTGCTCCGTGCTGCCAAAAGAACATGGCCATCTTCTGCCTCTTCATTAGCACAGCCCAAACCAGCAGGTCATTGTATGGGTAAGTAAAGCCAGTAGACTCGGGGTCATCTAATGAATCCTGTCTTTCCTTTGACTTTTTCCTTGATTTATGAGGGACTCCAGACTTTTCCTGTCAGAAAGCAAAATAGGAATAAGTCTCAAAGACTCAGCTGCATGACATTCTACCTAATGTAACTCACATAAGTAACCTACAGATATTTTTTTAAAAATCATTACTAAAAAGAGAGATGAAAATATCAGTAGGACTTATAAACTAGGAAGCAAAATCTAGACATTGTGACCATCTACTTCCTGGTGTATTTAATAGATCTAGTTGCCAAGCTGAGCTATCTCAAGTTAATCTTTTTTTTTTTTTTTTTTTT